CTCCCATAATTGGGGGATGGGGGGTGGCCCAAAGGGCCCCAAGGGGGGGGGAATAGGGGGCGAAAAAAATTTTTGGGGATTTGGGGGAAAAAAGAAAAGGGCCTCCAAAATTGGGGGGGTGTTTTTGGTGGGGGAGGGAAGGGGGCCCCTTTTAAAAGGGGCGGGGTGTTCAGGGCTAAAGTGATTCGGGAAGCCAAAAAATGGGGTCCCCCCCCCCCCCCCGGGCCAAGATTGACACGCAGGATAGCCAATTAAGGCGGCTCACTTGCAGCAGTCTTTTGTATAGGATTTAGTGTGTCCATAGTAAAACCAATATACTCTTCATTGAATAGACTTTCGCGCCGCATTCTAAAACCCATAAAATCCTCTTAATTTGTAGGCTTTCGTGCCGTCATACTATTTCCAACACCATGCACTAGACCCTCCTCGCGACCAAGATTGACGCGTATTCTTGGGGTGTTTCCATAATTTCCACTAGCTCTGTGTGGGATCCCGCGCGCGCGCGCTGAAAGAGGCGCCCGAAAAATGTCGAAACCCTGGAGATTTGTCAAAATGTCCCCCCCCGGGGGCGTATAAGGCCTATCTCCCCCCACCGAGACCAAAACTGACACGTAACCTAGGGGTGTTCCAATGTTTCCACATGAAGGGACCCTTGCGTCGAGAGAGTTCTATCCTCTACCCCTGTCCTCCACCTTCCCGAATTCTCTGGAGAATTTGTCGTTCACACCGACGCCTCTGAACAAGGCGTGGGCGCTTTCCTCGCTCAACCATCCCGTGATAGTGCCGACGGTAACGAACTCGATATCGTCGCGTTTTACAGTAAACGTTTTTTCAAAAGGCCAACGCCATTACAGCGCTACCGTGAAAGAGTGAATTGCGGTTGTCTGGGCCCTCACCCACTGGCGCCCATACCTTTGGGGGCGTCGTCACTTTATGCGTAGCACCGATCAGCAAGCGATCACGTATCTCTACCGCATGCAAGACACGTTCAACATTTTGACGCGCTGGGCTATCGCACTTCAGAACTACGATTTCACTGTCAAACACGTGCGGGGGAAATTCAACGTCGTCCCCGATGCTCTGTCTCGAATTTTTAGCGAGGTTAACGGCAACCCTGTGCCGTCCGAATCAAGCCTTGCGGCCATATGTCGCAACGTGCCCGATGATAAACCATTCTGTCCCCCGGTTCCTCGAGATTACGAAGTGTCCTCAAACAACCTCGATGAAACCGCGCTCGTCGAAAGCGACCGCGAATATTTCTTTTTTGCGGAAAAATCTTCTGACTACCTACCGCATTACAGCAGCAGTTTATTGTAGAGCGGCTACGACATGCTCCGCATCCCACCAACACACACCAACACACGAACTTCTACAGTCATCTGTCTCCCAAAACCCTATGGCAGAGCATATAGCAATACTCCTGCTGCTGTGGGTTGCCTTATTTGTATATTTCGGCAAAAGTTGTCCAGTTTTCTCTGCTTTATTTTGCTTACTGTACACACAGCGTGCTGCCAAAACTACCGTAATGATTCGCGCTGCTTTCCCTCGCCTCCCGTACTCAACCCCGATTCTCACCACCACCGACGGTTGTACATCAGATCACATACGAAGACCGCACACCCTAGAAGCGAACTTTATTCAGCTACAACGTCTCGCTGAGGGGGTGGGTAGCGCATGGGAGAGGAGGAAGAGAGAGAGAAAAGCTGTTTGCTTGGTGTATCTCTCTTCAGTCTTATTATTCGACACACTCCCCCCCCGTAACCCCTCGTTCCTTATGTCTTAAGTAGAGTATTTTAGGGGTCGCTCCTCTGTTTTCTGAGACGTTTCTTCTATGGTGTGGCCCAGATGGAGCTATTATGTTACTTAACCCTATTTTCCTATTTTTTTCGTGGAAAGTGAGCCTTTGTTTCTTAAAAAAAAATCTTACTCCGGCCGTCGCATAACATCAAATAAATCTATTCATGGTGCGTCTCTCTGCTCTTCGAACAAACAATTTTTCCTCTTCGCAGCATTTCTTCTTCATATCTCTCATTCCAAAACTCCACCCGCACACACTTGCCATCGCCATTCAACCTACGAGCGTAGCGGCGACCGCGAAGCGGTACACCGCGAAGCGCCGTTGTAGTGAGGACGAAAACACACACAAATGTAAATACCAGTAAAATACTGCCGTGCTACAAAATTTCAAAATTTCCTCATGAACTTATTAATCGCGCGAAGGCGGCCCAGTAGCCTTCGTAGGGTTTTTCGTATTATGTGCCTACGCTAGGCTTGACCCTACCTGTTGACGTACCAAACTTGGTACATACTGCTGTAGGTTTGACCTACTGCTGCTGTACCTGCCGTTCGACAGAACATGATCCACCTGCGAGAACAAGAATCTTTAGTTTACAGCAGTGTAGATGGATGACGTACAGCGTATTTTTACTGTACGTATGGAACACACTTTGAAAGGTGGTCTCACAATATCTTCGCGGGTGTCCTCAGAAATAACAAAGCCATCGTAGCTGCAGCGCTATCTCATATGTCACCCTCCCCCATGATGCCGACCCGTGTGGGTACTGGACTGCTGTCGCTGTGGATGTGTGGATATGGCATACACACCCGCCTAATATTTGTGTACTTGTGTACGTATGCGTGGAGATTCTCCGATATGTCAGAAAGTATGTTGACTATACAGCAGCAGTAGTGATTCATCCTAGCCTTCGTACCTGGGCCCCACGTAATGGTAACGCCTGAATGTAATACAGTGTGGTTAATGCTTCCATCGTCATGTACGTGTACCCTAGAGACTGCTGTCGGCATCACCCCCCAGTCCGGCGCTGTTGGAAACATGACAATACGCTGAGGCGTGTGCTTATTCACAGCAGTGCATGAGCTGCCACGCACGCGCGGGTGTTGGCGCGTGTGCCCACCCCCCCAAACGCTTACCCTGCTTTCTGCCTCGGTCCAGGGATCGATTTCTCCTTCCCACCAAGCATCCCCATCCGGAAAACCCTCCTGGTGCGCTGCCCGCAAGGCTGCTGCTGTCCGCGAGCGGTAGCGCGTGTGCTTCTTCAACTCTGCCTTGTGATGATGCCGGTTCCTGCTGCTGCTGCTGCTGCTGCTGCTGCTGCTGCCGCTACTGCTGGCGAGCGTGAAGGCCTGCGCCGTCATATCCGAGAGAAGGCCGAGGGCATGGCACGCTAACAGCGACAGCGCCAACGGGGCTGCTGCCGCCGGCTTGGAGCCCAACATCCACAGGCTCCACCACTATCTCTCTCTCCCTTCCATCGAATGGTCTGTTGGCTGTTGCTGTGTCAGAGACTGTCCGAGAGTAACAGAGGGGCCCCACGTATAGGAATTAGTACCCCCGATAACGCACTGCTTCATCTTGCTCCGTAGCAGCTGAGCTCTGCTCTCTTTGCTCTGTCGCTGTGTCATCTGTCTGCTGCTGTGCTTCTCTTCTCTCTCCCGTGGACAACTGCTGTAGTCCACTCTCCCAGCTAACAATGAAGACAGCCGTGGCGGTCGCAGCTTGCTGGGCGGGAGGGATCAATGCATTCATTACGCCTGGCGTTCCGGTGGTACCGGTCTCAGCACGACAGGTATGTACTTCATTGTCAAGAATCAGCAACATGAACACGGATGAGACAGCCACGTAGTATGTAGTTTAGCCTCGTGCGATGAAAGCTCGTTATGTGATAACACACGTAGGAGAGATCTAAAAGGGAGGGAGGGAAATAGAGAGGTGCGTTGCACCCTGGCAATCGAGATCCCTTGGTGCAGGAACACCGCAGCAATGTCGGCATCGTTTCTGACGAAAAAACATCTGCTCGAGGCCATGTAGGCAACGTATGATAACATGATAACGCCGTGCATGTGTGTGTCAGACGTTAGCCTGTGCCCTCAGCAATGTGTCGGTTCAGCAACGGGGAGAAGATGCTGCCGTGTGTAACCGCCGCGGACGGACATGCCCGATGGAAGACGCCTTGACATGAGCTTGCTTCACGAGCTGACTTGCTGGACATTGCTCGTACGCTGCTGTGCGTTGGAGACCTACATACATGTAGCCACCCCCGCAAAGTTGCCGCGAGTTTAAACTACCGCGGTGTTGTCGATCGGGGGGATAACCACCTCCATGGAAGAGATAAGACAGGGAGAAAGTTGTGCGCGAAATATATATATACACCAGCAAACTTTGTGGCTCTATTCATCGGTGTACTTGCTTTGAACGGAGGAGGATACTCACGATTGACCAGCCCGGCAGCAGCCGCTTTTAACTTGATGCAATATACCACCCCCCAACGCCTTGCCGTTACAGCTTGATTCCAACCGCCTCCGTTGAATGCAACCGTTACAGAACACGGAGGCTGTCGCGCCAACAATCGATTGTTTCATGGGCGTGGCATACACGGTACCCCCCCCGCGGTTTGGTTCTTGTGTGCGGCAGAGGCGTGTATGTATCCTCCCTCCAAGTGCAGTACAGAAACGAGCAGCAGCCTGCGGGCGCGAAACCAGGCCGCCTGACTTACGCGGCTACCCTCTTGTCAAGTAAATCGCGCAAACCCGCGTTTTTGCGATTCTATTATTTCGTACTTTCAAGGATCAAGCCCGCAGATTGAATATCCTCTGTTTTTTCTGAATCATGCGTGGTAGGCTAGATGGGATTCCCTAGCTCCGGCTTCGGTATGAAGTGGGTGTTCGCCAAAGGTGAAGGTGTTCTACAGCAATAACCGGCATGCCAAGGCTCTGGTGATACCATACGTGTGTGTGTGTTTCCATGCCCAAACCACGAAGTTTTGGGCTCTCAGGTGTTGTCGGGTGCCATGTACGCTACCACATACCTAACGATTGCGTCGTATTTCGCCCCCCGTCCACTCCGCTGCTGCTGCTCCCGCCGCTGCTGCATCTTTGCGTTTCTTTTTTTACTTTCGGCAGGCTAGTAGCAGCAGGTGAGCTCGGGGTGGGAAGGCGCTTTCGGGCGAATCGCGTCGTGTACCATGGCGTTGGAGTTAGCCGTGATGGTCACACGGTGACGGTTTCGGCCTAAGGCGTCTAACTAATTTCGTGGAAAACATATTCTCTTCGTCTGGACCGTGTACTTTGGTCGTTTATCGCTGTGCTGCACGATTTTTTCTTGCGCAAGAGATGGCTTGGTGTCGTCGTTGCGGCGGATTGTCTTTCGTCTGCACTGCGGTTTGGTTGATTGTGCTTGCCATGCTTCTTGCTCGAGAAGTTTCTTGGCGTCGTCAGTGCAACCAAACTCCAGTCAAGTGTCTTTAGACGCAACCTAGACAGCACTCGTTCCCTCTTTGGCGGTGCAAACCGCACGCATTGTTTTACACCACTTCACTGGTGGCATCCTCGGTGCGAACACCGAAGACTCTCTGCGGCAGCAGCTTCTCACCGCTGCGGGCTCTACCTGAACATCCTGTGTTTGGGCGCCCCCTAGTATCATGCGGGGCAGTGGCAAGAAATATCCGCACCACGATTGGGGACCCACACACTGCTGTGGGTTGTGTGAACGCTACTGCTGTCCGCAAACTAGGCCGGAAGAAGGATTAACTATTAATAGTAGCATACCAGCACATGCAGACCCTATCTCGGCAGCAACAGGGCGAGGCTAAACCCTTGCTACGTCAACAAACGGACCGCCTAAGAAATGGAACAGGGAGAGGGTACGCAGACGCCATCCAAAACCCAACTTCCCCGAGTGCATGCTTCATCCAACACGTGTAGTTAATAGAAAGCCCCTGCAAAGGCTACTGCGACAAACAGACCGAACCCCGCTGTCACCACAATAACGCCAAAGGCTCAGTCGCACCCTGATTTCTGTCCCGCTGCGACGACAGTGGCAGAGTAGCAGCAACGACGAGGATGGGCGTATCGGACCGGGAGGGCCTCGCGTCATCTGCGTGCTCCCGCTCGGAAGCTCTGAGCACGTTTGGCGCGGCGGTACTGGGAGCGGTCGTGGTCGGCACGGGGGTTCCTGCGCCTGCTTCGGCGGGATCCGTCGCCGAAGCCAACAAGAGGCTCAGCGAGTGAGAGGAGGACTCTTTTTGTGTTTTTTTGTTGTTCGCGAATTGGGGACAGTGCTGTTCCCCTGTAGTGGCTGGAGGTTACGATTTGTGTGTTCGTCGGGACGGCATGAGAGGCACATGTTGACACGGCAGTAGCAGAGAAGTTTCTTTGTACTGGCAGTATCGTCGAAGACATTACGACACCGGTGTCGCAAGTACGATAATGTGTCTGAGTAGGTATTCAACGCTCCCCTCGGGACCGAATGTTTCTGCATCGGAAACAGACACCTTATCAGGACTTGTCACTTTCGTGCTGGAAAGGAAAAAAGCCCCCCGTGGGTAGTGTCGTCGATAACAGATTACGACACCAGTGATAAAAAGCACGCAAAATGTTGTCCGCGTTCCTTTTCGGCAGCGGGGGTAGTCGGCTCTATCACGACTGCGGGTTTGTTTGCGGTGCCAAAAGAGCGCTCTTAGACAGTTGAGTCTCCGCTGTCCTTGACGGAAAACTCCGGCCGCATTGGACGGGGGGGGCTTACGGTGACCAGTGTGTACGGCCCCAAGATTCCTCGAAGTATCAAATACTGTCCATGAGAGGGAACCAATGGCGATGGAGTTCGTCTCAGCATACCAACGACAGCCGTGACAACCAGCGATAACATCAACAGCAACACAAACCAGCAAGAACAACGCGAAATACCCCCGTCCCGTCCCGGCTATGTAGGGATGCGAGGTCAATGTTTAGTGACTAGGTCATGAACGGCTATGAGTATACCCTCCCCTCTCTCCCACACCCCATCCCCGAAACCCAATTGGCGAATGCAGGTACAACCTTCCCCCCGTGGTGGACGTGCCCGGCGGCTTCAACACGCTGCTGGAGGGGTACGGTAAGGACGGAGCCCTGAAGAACTCGCTCGGCTCCAGCAATCGGGACCCCATTCTTGTGACCTGGTGAGCCACCGCGAAGCTTGGGCTGGAAGGAAGGATTCGGGTGCAATGTCGGCGCGTGTGTGTGGGGAGGGGAGTCCTCATTTGCTGCCTTGCCTCACCATATTTTGTTTGGGCCCTTGGCCACCCGCGTTTCGTACGAGATGGAGAAATTTTCCTACTCCAAGTGGAGGGCACCTCCTGGAGGGAACGCCGGGGGGGGGGGGGGGGGGGACCCCGGGAAATGCCAACCCAATTCGGTAAAACATTTACCCCCCCTCCCTACAGGGGCGGGGAGGAACCAAACCCCGGGGTTTTTCCCGCCCCCGGCCCCTTTTCCCCCCTTTTTTTGGGTTTTGGGCCCACCCAAAATTCCCTGGGTTTTTTTTCGGGAGGGGGGGGGGGGCCCGT